TAAATAGCATTTTTAGTCCTTGGTTTAACGGCATAACAATTTTAATCCCAAAATTTTTACATTTCGCCTTTTAGTCCTATGATTTAATAATTTGCTGCAATTGAGGACTGAAATTGCAAGAAATTCCCAAATTTACATATTTTGGATTAATTTTTTTATTAGCAATTCAAGTTTTTTAATTTAAAATTTTGTTGTAATTTGAGTCCTCAAAGGACTGAAATTGCAGCAAAACATTAAATCACATGACCAAAACGCGAAAAATTGGAACTTTGAGACTAAAATTGCTATGCAGTTAAACCAACAGGACTAAAAATGCACTTTTGCCTAAATTATATTCTTACATAAGGCGGACGTGGGGTGCCCCTCCTTCCATTTAAACGGTATTTTCGAGGCGGCTTTTTTCCTCAAATTTGTCGGGCTCGAGCTAAAAGACCGTCTCTTTTCGACCGCACCACCATTATTAACAGCCGAAGCCAGGCAAGGCAAGCAATTGCTCGGGATAATTCCACAGTTTTCCAATAAGCTATCATCATCATGTGTTGATGTTTCTCCGTGTGGGCCAGAGCCCGAGATCTCGTCAGCGTAAACGGGCTTTGGCCCGATAAGCGAGTTGTTATGAGGAAAAGTGACTTTTCCGTGAGTGGAATTGCGTGCAGATGTTAGGGCACTCGAAGGTTCAGAGTGCTCTTCGGAGGCTGAGCCGCTTAGAGAGAGAACATCTGCATACGAAATGAAAATAAGAGGCCGAGGAAAAAGTGATGTATTGTTGCAGAATACAGAATTAGGAGAGAATTTTCTGAAAAAGGTTTGAAAAAAAAGATGAACTTGCAAGCCAAACCGAACTTTCAAATGGGTTAAAACAGAGAGTTTCTGGAGGATAAGTTGCACGGGTGTTTGTATACAAAATATTTCACTCACATTTTAATTCATACTTAAAATCTAACTAAACTTTAACTCAACCTCACTATCTTTAATATTATTCATTGATTAAATAATACAAACTAATCATTCTTACACATCACATCAACTCTAATTCACTATTCATCCACTAACATAATTTTAACATCAACTTCACATCATCTCTCTCATACTTGTATATCAAATCAACTTTAAATATTTTATTTTAAATATTATTTTAATATAGAATCAAAATTACACTAACAACTAACCATACCACATTTTTCAAAATTAATCCTGGTTAACTAAAAAAACTTATTTTGAGTGGATATATTTGTAAACAAACACGCCAAAAGTGTCTTTTTTTTCAAATCAGAAGCAATAATCATCAGTCCTTTCAAAAATCCTACAAAGTTACTTTTTTTTTTCTATTAGGGAGAAGCTAGCATTCGTTTGTTTAAAGAAAATGTATTGCTCCATACCATCGGGAATACTTTGGTAATCTTCGTCACTCCAATCTGAATCAAGGATAGCAGCAGAATCGAACCATGCCTCCTCAACACTACCTACAAATGCCCAAAAAACAAGGGAAAAAAACAAAAGAATAAGAGAAAGAAATGAAGTATGTAGAGTAAATAAATAAGTGTCATTTCAGAACTTAAACAGCACATTTGAAGGCTTGGAAGCAAAAGTGTGTTCACAGTCATATTCATCATTCCACCAACAAAACTAATAAGAATGTGAAATCAGGTCTTCAATTCAATCACACCAAATTCTAGACTTAGAAAAAATGAATATGGAGTATGGTCCTAATCATCTACCTAAGTAAGAAGTAGCTCAACAACCATAAGTAGCTACAAATTCAAAGATGATCAAACTTACTAAAAGGCCCCTGCACCAACCAGCTAAAAAAACTCAAATTACATCATTTAACAGAAAGATAAAAGTGGTCCATAAATATAGTTTCTTTTTATGAATGAAAGGAAATACCTCAATGGAGTGAAGTTTTAACATCTGAAGCTTCCTGTTTATAATTAATTCTGGTTTAAAAAATAAAATAAAAAATAAAACAAGCAATTCCTAGTATTCCATTTCCAAAGCATGTCCTCAACCATATTCTTACAGAAACTGGCCTTCTCTAAATCCTCAAAGCTACACAGACTAAAATCTTACACCACCAACTCACCAAGCTGCATATGATGAATCCACAATAAATTAAACCCATGAAAAGTGACAACCCAAATCAACAAATAAGGTAGTCAAACGAAAAAAATGTAGGAGGAACAAGATATAAATGTAACCCCAACTCATAATATTACACTAGTTTGAACCAGAAAAAAACCCAACAACCCAGCTTCCACATTCTTTGCACAACCCATTTAAGGAAAAACAATTAATAAATAACACTAAAGTAAGCCAACTCTTCACAACACTCAAACAATTTTCACACCATGAACATAAAACCAAATCAAAGACAAAGACTCTAACTTTTAGTCAAGCTCCATCCTCTTCAGCTGGAGACAAACCAAAATCACATCTCAAGCTCACACACACACACACACAAACACACAGAAACACACACAGAGAGACATATAGAGAGTGGGACAAACAAACCATGAAAAGTAGGGTTGTTGAAGGCACGATCCTCGGGTAAAGGTGTAAGCTTTTCGATTCTACTGTCCGAAGACATATCAGACAAATGGGAATGAGCCCTTTTCCTCAAAACCTTTCTCCTCCTTCTGTTCTTCTTCTTCCTCAGCCCGCCGGATTTCCCCCCCACGCAGTTCTCCGGACGGGAAACGCACGCCCCCATCTCAAACCACACACACAGAGAGAGGTAAAAGGGGAAAAACAAGAGGAACAAAAAAAATTAGGAGGAAAACAGAAAAATATAGGCAAAAAATTGGGGTGAGAACAAAATGGTCAAACAAATTTCGCACGCGCCCAAAAGGGTTGATCGCCAATCGTCCTCTCGTGCGATATCAACCACAGCAAGGAGTCTAGAGAGAGAAAGTAAGCCCGTTCTAGAGAGAGGAAACGTGAAGAGGAGGAGAAGCCCATCAAGAATCAACCACCCGCCCCCTCTCTCTATCTCTATCTGTCTCTATCTCTCTCTCTCTAATAAATAAAAATCTGATCTTTGGCAATCAATTTACTGCGATTAATCATTCGATCTCCACCAAACTCATGGAGATGCGAAAATTGATGAATATAATATGAAATACATATAATATATGTGTGCATATATGTGCGGTGGAAATTGTACGTGATTTTCCGAGCTCCGGCGGAGGCTGGGAGCTATGAGAAATGTCAAATTTTGTATAAATTGTGCTTGCGGTCCTAAATATTACGGGAAATTGGAGAGGAGGGCCCGTAGGACACGTGGAGGTCTTATTGGAACAAAACTAAAGTCCGAGCCGAGTAGAGTAGTTCGTTCGAACTTGTGCTCGTTTAAGGAGTAGATAGATGTGTTATTCAAACCGAATAGAGATGAGTATCTCTCGTACGAATTTGTGCTTGTTTAATAAATAAGTTGGCTCGACTTTTCTGGACTCTGAGTAGCTTGACTCAACTTGTTTAATAAACTCTTAAACGAGTCAATTGCAAATATAAAATATATGTTTGCGAACAAGTTCAACTCAACTATTTTATTTAGGTAGGTATATTCGTTTGAGATTTTAGTGACATCATAATATTTTTAAGATTTTTTAGATTTTACATGAATTCTTGAAAAAAATGATGTTTATGATGGAGTTTGAGGTGAGATTTCGTAATTTCTTTTTTTATGAAATATCAGCGATTCTTAAAAAAAATCTCAGCAAATTCTAGTTTCACATAAGTTAAATAATTCATGATTTGTTCAGATTTTTTGAGATATCAAATTAATACCTTGGGAAGCTTAAAAGTCATAAAAAAATCAAATTAAATACACCATAAATTTTTAAATCCAAACAAGTCTTTGAGAATTAAGAATTAATTAATTCAAAAAAAAAAATCAACTCGACTCATATAATAAACGAGTGTAATTAGTTGTTGGAGATCTAACTCAGTTACGTAAGTGAACGAGTCAAACACTAGCCTGGTGACGTTTTTGCCCGTATGTGCTTAAAATCGGCACTTTGGGAGTTACGAGTTGAGAATTGCAAATTTATTTTGGGCACATTTATTTTTCTTTTACATATTTTTCTCAAATTAATTACCTATTATTGTCGAAAATAAAAAGAAAAAATAATGTTTTGTTTTCTAATTTTGGATCATTTGTTGTTGATGACATTTATAATAATGGAGTACACCTGTCTTGCAACCGCTCACAGTACACATATATTGATTGAGGAAAATATCTTTTTCACCAACTTGAATTTTGATTTACCTTTTCTTCATAGAAACTTGAAACATTTTTTTTTTTTTTGTTTTATATGAGAATGCATAACAAATAATGTTTAATTTTGATATAATTAATGAGATATGAACTAAAAAGAATGTCAATGACTAGCTTGAAACAAAATACAAAAACGTCACGTCAAAATTGAAAAATACGATTACAGAGATAAATGACATGATGAATCAACACGATACAAAAATAACGAAATAAATTTTTTAATAAATTTGGACCTATTATGATATTTTGATAAAATAAAGTATATGAACAAAAAATAATAATTTGGGCGTTAATGACTGGACAACACAGTTCAGGTGTACCTTGTGGAACTATAAATAAACACATCAAATTTTGCAGCTACAATTGGTCCGAAAATTATTACCTCGCCTTTTTATTTTGTGGCCCATTGGCCCATAATATTTTTCAATATTTCATTTTTAATCAAACCTTTTTCCCTATTAACAAAACACTAGTACAGAGCCCGTGCGATGCACGGAGTGCATAATTTTAAGGCTATTTATCTAGGCTTATAATTATATACATAAATAAAGAAAAATGTACGGGATATATATAGTACGTGACCCGTGCAAAGCACGAGATATATTTATTTGGAAAATATTATACTATAAGATGCAATATTTAATAAAAGTTTATAATACGCAAGAAATTGTACAATGTTCAATAAAAGTTTTATAATATTCAAGTGGAGTCTTAAAGTCTCTTGTATATTAAGACTACTGAGAAAATAATATTTTAATCAATGAATTTCCTTTCCTTGTAGCCAAATTGTGAATGTGATTTGAGGAGTACAACAAATTGATATATAGCTGACTTGCTTTTTTCATTGTAGTTTTTTTTTCTTTTTTTTTATAATGAATTTAAAGATATTCTAAAATATAGCAAATTTTTTTTTATTACAATTAGGAATTTTACTAAATATAAACTCTCAATCTATGGTGTTAATCAACGTTTAAGTCTAAAAAATTAGGAATTTTTACCTCTTTGAATCAACGTTTAAATCTAAAAAACAATAGAGTTATTATAAGTTTTTTTCCTACATCTTTTAAAACATTAAATATGAGCATGTTAGAGGTAGCTTATAAAATAATTAATATATTATCTCACTAAAACATTTATACTAATAAAAATTTATTTTTAGCATATAAATTTATCTCTTGATATAAGAGAAAGTAACAGTTTTACTTATTGTTGTTCACCATATAATATTTAATTATTATTTTATTATATAATAAAAAAGGAATATTGTTAAATAGTGTAGTAGAATTGTTATAAAATTATATGATTTTTTTTTTACAATATGGATTTAATATTTTTTTATGATTTGATAATATAAACAAATCTATATTTAACTTTGACAAATAAAACAAATAAATACTTTAGTAAGTATTTAATGTATATACTAAATAGAAATATATTTGGTATAATCAAATACCAAATATAATCAAATAAGTCAAAGTGTACATTTTTATTTGGTATTTAATTTTTTTATTATTAAAATCTTTTTATTATACTTATCTTTTTAAAATAAAACTAATAAATAAATCAATTAAATAAATAAAATATTATAATACCAAAATAGTAATGGCATTTAATGCAGTTGACTTTTCTGGATAATAAATGTAGTAAATAGAATATCCTTTTATATAGTATAATACGGAAATAGTAATGCAATAAATGCTGTTGACTTTTCTGACTACTTAATTTAGTAAATAGTACCCCCTTTAATATAAGTATAGATTGATAAAAGAGAAAAATAAATGCTTATGAAACATAAATTTAAATTGATTTTATAACTTAAGGAATATGTGCTGTTTTCTGTGAAATCATATTTTTATGGAAAAATATTAATTTCCGGGGCAATAGTAGTTGACACTATTAATTATTCCCAAGTTTCCTAAAATTATACTATGTTATAAATGAATCATTCAAGTTTATTGCAATAGCAGATATTGGCAGTTTTTTTTGGCAAGATGAAGGGGTCATAGTGATTGATGCATGAGAAAATGGGATTTACACTTTTTTTTTGTTTTTTTTGTTAGACCACGTAACTATTATGACATGATTGATAGGAAAGAATGATATGAGAATGGAATGATCATTCTCTTACTCATTCCTTATCTCATGATTGATATTTTTTTGAGAAGGAATGACCATTCCAATTGGAATAGCAAAACCCATCTCCATGAGATTAGCCATTCCATAGTAAATGGAAGATTTTCTCATTCCCATGTGTGTAAGAATCAATTTTTCAAAAAATAAAATTAACAAATAATAAAAAAAATATATATAATATATATTATAAATTATGATTAAAATATATTAAATAATTTTTTTTTAAAAAAAAATTCAAACAAAAAAATTGAATACTTACTTTTATTTATTTTTTATTAGATATATTAAATACTTATATTAAAATAAAACTAAAAAAAGCATTTATATATAATTTAAAATATATTATTAAAAATATATTATCTTTTATATGTTAAAAATATATTAATTTTAAAAATATATTATTAAAAATATATTATTGAAAAATATTAAAAATATATATTATTAAAAATATATTACTTTATTTTTAAATATTATTAAAAATATATTATTTTAAACAATAAAATTCAAATAAAAGTTAAAAACTTACTTTTATTTACTGTTTAATTAAAAAATAAAATATATATTATTAAAAATATATTACTTAATTTTTAAATATTATTAAAAATTTAAAAATATATTATCTTTATATATTAAAATTATATTACTTTTAAGAATATATTATTTTTTATATATAATTTTTTAAAATATATTATTAAAAATATATTATTTTTGTATTATTAAACAATATAGTATTCTATTTTTATATATTATTCAAAATATATTATTAAAAATATATTATTTTATTTTTATATATTATTAAAAAAGCATTTATATATAATTTATTAAAAGTATATTATTTTTTTAAAAAAGCTTTTATTTATTTTTATAATAAAAAATGATAATGTCATTCCATTTTAGTCCTATTCATTCTGAATACCAAACGCATCAATGACAAAACATGTTTCATTTCATTCTCATAATTATTTCATTCTTCAATTCATTCCATTCCTACGAAATTTCATTCCATCATACCAATCATGCCATTAGTCTATTACGATTTACGTGGTTATTAAATTTTTAAAAATTATACATACTTTTATATTTAAAAGTCATACTTTAAAAAATAATAAATAAAAATATATGAACTTTTATTGTATAAATATACATTTTTTATAAGAAAATATAAATTCGTTAACATTTGGCGTCCAACAACAATATTTGTGTGTTTATAACTTTATATACTTTAAACATTTATTATGTCTTTTAATAAATTATTTATGATTTAGGTGATGTAAATATATATAAATGAATAATGTGATCAA